TTCCTTCAGTTTAAAAAATTGCTTATTAGAATGTTTCTTTTATCTTTTTTTAACTTTAAAAAAACCCAAATTTTTCTCCTTTTTTCTGTTTTTTCCCCCTACAGACTCGAGTCTGGACTCGAGTCCTTACTCGAGTCCCTACTCGAGTAATTTACTTGTGACTCGAGTCTGGACTCGCTGCATGTATTACTCGAGTACTCGAGTCTGGACTCGTTACTCGCACACCTCTAGCTCGCAGTGTTGAGTTCTGAAGGCTAGCCTAGTGTTGTTGAGAGTTGTGCATGCTACACATTCACTACACACAGGCACCCAGTTCTCATAGAATGGTGGCTCATAGTTGTGATTAAAGTGTGTTCGTGTAGGCTTGAGGATTATGTCTTCTAATTGCTCATGTTTCTTTTCACCCAAATAGAGGAAAGGAAAAGAAAAGAACATGACGACAATGACGAATCGATTGAATCCCGTCCTTTTTGGCGTTTGTCAGATTGTGGTCGTGTTTCATCTTCTTCAGGGAGCCCTTGGCAGCAGATCCGATGCCAATGAAGGTAAGGGTGCAGGATAGATGTCATGCTTAACAAGAAAAAGAAAGAAATCTGTTCCTGTTTTTTTTTTTAACTTAACGTGGTCTCTAACAGGTCCGGAAAACAGCAAGTTTTTACAAGGCACTGTAAGTTACTGTTAGGACGAGGAAAGAGAAAGATTGGCTTTGAGAGAGGGAGAGACTGAGGAGAGAGAGAAGACGAGAGAGAGAGAGAGAAGATCATCATTTGTTGTTGTTGTCTAGCATATTAGCCTAGCCTATTGACGCCCCTGCCAACATTGTAAGGTCTAAAGGCTATTAGTATAGTATAGATCTCTAGATCTATATTGACTATATCTAGAATTCTAGATCTAAGTCCAAATTTGATGTCCTTCTCCGAATGCTCAAACTTAATGAGTGAAAGTGAAAGGGTGGAGAGCTTTAAAAACTCTGGAATGATGGCTTGTGTGCCAAGTTCTCAAAAATGCCCCCAGTGGCGGTGGGTGGACCAAGGTTTGGGTGGGGCTTCTAAGGTTTCTTCCACTTCACCAAAAAGCAAGCAATAATAAGAACAAAACAGTGATGATTTTTCTTTACTCACGGCGAGCCACGGCATTTTGAGAACCATTCAAACGAGAAGAGTCACCTTTGTCTTCCATCTCTTTGTTCTTAGTTAAATTTAAGCTTCTGAATGGTGGGGACGAAGCCGTTTCACCTCAAAATTTCTCTTTAGTTTTTATCTGAAGAAGAAGTTGCCTCAAAAGTGGTTTGATGTAATTAATCTGTAAATCTCAGCGACACAAACACACAGCACTCCAAACACACCGTCTATGAGGTGGATTGGGTCGTGTTGTTGTGGAAAATAGAACGCGCCAAACAAAGGCCCAATGGGCGCATAGGTATCTGTGTCACTGGGTGAAATTGTGTCGTAAACTTTCACCCCATTGTCTGGGCTGGGAGATCGTGAGCCCTCTGTGCAGTATTATTTTTTTATAGTCTTATACCTTTTTACTAGAAGAGTTTCATTCAAGACGGGCGTGGGAACCGGCTTTTTCTTTCTGAGCCCTTACGACATTTGATTGGCTGTTAGGTTACTGTAGTTGTAAGCGGTGACAACAATGATTGGATAAACGGGCAAGCCGCCAAGCTGATAACTGTGTGTTCATTGTGTGCGATCATAACGGTTTCAACTGCTTTTCGTTATTTAAGAAACTTTCATTAACTAAGGGATAGAATTGGGGTGGGGATGGGGTGGGGGTGAGGGGCTCAAGCCTGTAAGCCCTTCACTACCCACCGCCACTGAATGCCCCCTTGTCACGTTTGTGTGCTTTGACGGAGATTTGAACCAGGGTCATCCTATTGTCCACTGGCCAGAGAGAGAGAGAGAGAGAGAATTGTTGGTACTGACTAACATATGATGAAAAAAGTCGAATAGAGAGTGAAAGTAGAGAGAGAGATTCATGGTATTTTTTTACTTTTTCCCTCCCGTCTCACACTTAGCTAGATCTACCAGTTGTCCATTTTCTACTAGATCTAGATATATAGATCTAAATATTGATGAGCTGAACACAAATAAAATAAACTTCTTTTCCTTATCAAGTTTATAGAACCTAGTTTTTAAAAATATATTTTATTATTTGATTTGTTCTTAATATGAAATGGAGATACACGTGCTTTGGACCAATCAGTTTAAAGTACTGCAGTTTGACCCCCAAAGCAGTGCATCTCAGTCTCAGTATGCGGGAGTGAAAGTAAAAATTTACCGAGATTTGAATGAGCGAAAAATTTATGATGATCACAGAGACATATCTATAAGATCTAGTGCTGCCAATTCTTTTTCAAAAGTATCCAGACACCTAGAGTGGACCTAATATCGGAAAAGAAGAAGTTTCTTGTCAAGGGAAAGGAAGATGATCTCCTGACATCTTAAAATGTAGGACGTCCTGCATGATTGCTAAAGAATTTCCCATCACTACAGATCTGATTGGGGCACAAAGTTATTTGGATAGTAATCAATATTAATTGGCTGAGATCAATCGCAGGCCAGAAAATGCTGTTGATTGTGATTGTGGAAATCAGGGATGACATGGAACCTACTGCATTGTATAGCTTGTGGGCTTAAAAGTGGTGCCCATTGCCAATTGGCAGGATCAATTTTCTTTGGTTTGGTTGTTGGGGTAAGCCAGATTTTCCTCCATGGAGGCTACCATCATGGTGTTTAAACCAAGCTAAACTGATGATGTCTTTCGTAACTTACAAACTCATTTACAAGGTCGTGAGTTGGGCGATAAGGTTGAGAGGCAGCACTGGGTCTTTGTAGTGTACACTGAAGCCACCAGAGACGGAACCAAACCGATCGATCCTCCAATGTGCACTACCTCTAGAGATTCTGCTTGGACGCCAGAAGGAGTCCTCAGAGAAGTCATTGGCAAGTTTCAGGTGGTGGAATTCCAATCGAATACCCCCTCATTTCTTTATCAAAACATCATTATTTTTTTTATTAAGCCTGCTGCTGTGTACCTGTTTCTGTTCACCACCATTAAAAAGATTTCTTATCTTGGAATGTCTCACTTTTTGAGAATCACTGGTGGTGCTTAAAAATATCTTGTTAGAATGGAACAATTGGAGAACTGGAAGAGAAGAGCACAGGTAGCCCTACTTGATGCTGTGGCAGTCTACAGAGATTTTATTAATTAAATTTAGTTCAGCTGATGGTTGGTTATAGAATTTGATTTTAAAAGTTTTCTAAAGAGAGTGGAATGCCATGATTAGCCTTAATGTTTTAACTTGGAAAGTTTATGTTTGCGAACTACCTTGTAATGTTTATACCAAAAGTAAAAAGATGCGTACAATTAAAATGGGCTAGTCATGCTGATAAAAGACAGTGAGTGAGAGCTTTTGAAATGATGGTATCAGGGAATTTTAGGTCTGGACTGCAGTGGTAGTTTGTGCTAATTTGAGGGGAAAGTGGAAAGTTCGTGTAAGAATAAAGTGCAACACTATTATACTTTGTTATTGATCATTTTAATTTGTTTTTGTGAAAACACAATTTTGTCACCCGTGGTGCAATGCTCTTTCCCTCGCTTGCCAAAGGTGTGAGTATTATTTGTGAGTAGATAATGTATTGTTTCAAATATCTCTTCTATCTTTCTGCTGGGGAATACTGTGCATGTCGCTCTTGTTTGACCCTGATTGACAGGGTCAGAGAAGCATGGTGCCTCAGAAAGTTAATGTAAATTACTGAATGGGAGTGTAAAACATTTGGAGTTTCAGAGAGTCAAATGACAATGTGATCCTTGAAGTAAGAAGCAGTAGTTTCAATTGGTTTTTTAGTTGTGTTAAAATTTAAAAAGACCTAGTAGTAGTAGTACTTTTAGTGGTGTGTGGGCAAAGAGCAAAAGTTAAAAGTTTAATTTTAAATGCCTGGTAATTATGTACAAGCACAAACATACTTTAAATAAAATGAGATAATTTGCTTTTTTGCACTAGTTTTTATTTTGTGCATTTTTGTTACAATGTAATAGTCTTGGTAATCAAACATTTTTCAAAAATAAAATAAAAATAAAACTTAGAACATGGAGGACGTAATTGATAGGTACTAATATACTTCTTTTTTCCCCTTTGTTGTTTAGGTAATCTGCCTTATAAGTACTTTTTCCACCACAAAGTCACTTTCACTTTCATTGTGTGGTTGGGCCTTTGTTTACTCAAACTAACAAAGTATTACAACAAGCCATTAACATGACAACAAGTCTCAGGAAAATGATGATAATGAGGCACCAGACAATGACGCCATTCTCACACTTAAGTAGGTTTCGAGGCTATCCACTCGGTGTGGGTGTGCTTGACTGGAAAAGAGCGGTGTTTGTGGTGATAGGGAGATGTGATGGATTAGGAGGGGGGGGGGTGTCTGGGGCGCAATGCGTGAGTTTTGGCGGTCCTGGGGAGGGCGCTGTCTCTGTCATTATATTATATGCGTATCCGTTTTAATGTAACCTTTATTCTCACGTGTACACGTGTGCTTTTGACTACTCTATCCTGGGTCTCCTGGATTGCTAACTTGTAATTAACTTTCTCACAGCTGAAAGGGGCAACCATTACTGGAGAGAGAGAGAGAGAGAGAGAGAGAGAGAGAGAGAGAGAGAGAGAGAGAGGAGAGAGAGAGAGGGGGGGGGAGAGATCACACACACACACACTCACACAGACACACTGACTCCACACACACACACAGACACACGCACACACAGACGCGGGGAGGGGGAGGGGGGAGTTGTCTAGTCGAGATATAATATATTTATTAATGATAAGATTCTTCTTCTTCATCTGAGAACGAAATTTCCTTTACGTGCGCTTCAGTGATATCAGATTATTTCTGCCTGTTTGTTTTTCCCCCGCTCTATTTTCCCTCCCGCAAAAAAGCCCTTTTCACCCAGACCACTCCTTTTGCCCAGTTGCAGACTGGGGTTCATGGTCCTTAGGGAATGCGTCTCTGTTACGGAAGCGATGCTACTCAGCGTAGCGTCCCTTTTCGGTGAACTGACAACATACCCAGCTAACCCTAGTTGACCTTCGGCTATTTGTGCTGTTACTTTCCTGGGATGGGGTGTTAGGTAACCGCGTAATCTCACATCTTGCTGATTTCATGGAACTTCACCGTTGCTCAAGTGGGGAGTCTACCACAATAGACATGGAGAATGTCTTAGTAGGCCGGCTGGAATTCTTGGCATATATATATAATGTAATATATCTCATGTTTTGATTCTTTTTGGAACAGATGAAAAGAAGGGTCATCTTTAAGAGGATGATAGTAATGGTAATCTTTGAAACAGATGACAAGAAAGGTTAGCCGTAATAGGAGGATAACACTTCGTTTTCGTCGTGTAACTTGTGTTCCTTACGAAATAGGTTAGTATTATGGCCTTTCCTTCTCACACTCACCTACGTGTGTTATAGTCATTAAACCGCATGTTATTTTTTATTAGGTGTTCTTGCTAAATTACATGTTTGTAATCATAACAGCACTGG